TGCCCATCTCTGCTTCTCCTACCAGCCTGGACGAATGTTTCTTCTTTAACTCCTTGGTTGTCCTACTTCCTTATAGTTTGATTTTCTGGCAGTTCTGGTTATTTTTTGTTTTGAAATTTGTTGTTGTCCTCCTTTTGGTTGTGCGAGGAGGCAAAATGTATCTACCTGTGTCCCTTAACGTGCCCAATCTCGTCCTCATTATTTTTAATTCATTTTTCTTTTTCTTGTGCTGGTTGGGTGTTTTTTCCTAGTTTGTCTTCCAAATCATTGATTTGATCTACACTACTGTTTATTCCTTCCAGTGTATTATTTATTTCAGGTATTGCAGTCTTTATTTCTGACTGGTACTTTTTTATGACTTCTATGGCATTTTTCATGCTGTTGAGCATCCATATAATCATTACTTTGAACTCTATATCTGATATATAGCTTGCTTCCATTTCATTTTGTCCTTCTTCTGGAGAAGTCTCTTGTTCTTTCATTTGGAGCCTGTTTCTTTGTCTTCCCATTTTGGCTGCGCCTTTGTATTTGTTTCTATGTAGTAGGTAGATCTGCAAGACTCTGGTACATGCCTAAGTCAAATCCTGCCTGTTACTGGCCCTGAGCAACTTGTTTGGCACTGTCAGCAATCCATAGCTTGTGGCTTCCTCTGCTTTGCCTGGGTGTGTGCAGAAAGCACCAGTCTATGTGCCAAGACCAGCTTTTATCCGCACTGGGCCTCGGGGAGAGTCAGCTACAGTCTCAGTGCTCCCAGAGATCTACCTTTGCCTGCAAGCTTTCTGTAGGGTTAATCAGGAGATGTCTTCCAGCTGTACTCCCCAGCAGCAGAGCTTAAGCTCCACAGGGTAGAGCAGAGTAATTCCTGCAGGTGGGGCTGTTGTTTCCCCTCAGGCTGATGCCACTTGGAGGGTAGTGATCTTCCTGAGAAAGATGGCTTCTGCAGTATGAGGAGTGACTCAGTCCAGGCACCCTGATGGCTGATCCAAGACTCTCCTCAAACATCTCTAGTCCTCTCTGCTGTCCCTCCTCTTGAGCCCAGGGTAAGTGGCTGCAAATGGAGTTTTGTGTGTTGGCCCTTTAAGAGGCCCTCTGCACCTCCAGCCATCTCTCCCTAGTGGACAGAAACTCTGCTGCTTTTCACAGTCACTGTTAGTTGAGTTCCTTTCCCAGTTCTGGTGATGTGGACTGGGGAGACCAGCTTGGGGTTTAGACCCCATACTTCTCAGGGGAAACCCCAGTTGCTAAAATATCCCTCCAGGGATAGCTGCCACCCAGGGGAGCCCAGCCGGCCTTTTCATGCCTCCTCCAAACTCCCTACCAGTCGTGTTGTGGTGATATATCTTCTTCTGACTGTCCGTGGTGATAAGGATTGTCTCCAGCTAGTGTTCAGTTGGTTATTCGGGATAATTTTTCTATAATAGAGTTACAATTTCAGTTTGGTCCTGGGAGGAGGTTACCATAGCTTCCACATACTCCTCTGCCATATTTGGTCTCCATAATTCTGTAGTCAGCCAAGTATCAATCAAATATGAGTAAAATAAAGATATTTTCAGACATTCTACTACTTTACCTCTCATATGCCTTCTGCCAATTAAGAAGAGTGAACCAAATGTGTAGATAGAGGATTTAGGAGAGAAGTGGAGGAAATTCACAGGATAGAAATCTCAAGACAGTAACTCTACGTAGTGAGTAAAAAGCAACATGTCCAGATTGGAACAGGTCAATATGTTCTAAGAAAAATTTCTTTAAGAAAATAAAAATGGTAGAATATGAGATATTCTGAATATATTGAAAGGAGATTACACACTTAGGGGGAAATTTGGGGTTCATGTAATCATTGCAAAGAAAAATGAGCAAATAAGCCAAAAACAAGTCATTAAACAGAGGAAAAAAACAATGATACTGAAAGAATGAGTTGGGGCTCTGAGATCAGAAAGTGAGGGTGAGAGTGAGTGCTCTTGAAAAAGCTGTTTCTCTTAAGCTCTGAAGAGGTGTTTGGCTATTTAAGGCAGTTGCACCTATAAGTTTGATTTAAAAAAATAAGTTAAAAAAAATATCACAGGCTCTTACAGTAGTCTACAAAAGCCTAACTTCTTCATCCCATCCCACATTCACTGTGGTCTCTCAACCTTAGCCTCTATGCTGTCTTCAGATATTCATGGCCTTTGCGTTTGCTTTGTATCTGCATGCCATATTTTCTTCTCACATATGTACAAGGTTTGTTCATACACTTTCTTTAGGTCTCTGCTCAAATGTCACCCTCAGTAAATTACTTAACCCTCAGTGTGCTTTACTTTTCAGCATGGTACTTGATATTGTCTTGTACTTTATTCTCTCCATTGCTAGGCTTTATCTTTGCTTTTGTGTCACAAACACCACAAACAGCCTTGAATATAGTAAGGGTTCAAAACTATTTATTGAATGAATACCACTAAATACACTAATTTATAAACAAATTCACTGAAGAGCCCTCGCTAAGTGGCTCAGCTGGTTGGAGCATTGTCCTGTACACCAAAAAACTGTGGGTTCAATTCCTGGTGAAGGCACATTACCTAGGTTTCTGTTTGGATCTGCAGTTAGGGTGTGTACAGGAGGCAGTCGGTTGATGTCTCTCTCTCTCTCTCTCCACCCCACATCTTCTTCCCTCTTCTCCCTTCCTCTTTCTCTAAAGTCAATAAAAACATCCTTTGGTTAGGATTAAAATAATAATGATAATAAGCAAATTCACCGAAGAGGAAATACAAATGGGTAACAAACATAATCTCAAAATTATCAGAAAAATGCAAATGAAAAGAATGGGATAATTTTGTCCAGATTAGCAAGAAATAAAAATACTGGTAATAATATCACTGGCAAGAGTGGAAGAGTAAATTGGTAGTCTTTTTTTTTAATTTTATTTATTGATTTAAGAGAGGAGGGGAGAAAGACAGAGACAAACATTGATTTGTTTTCCCCCTTATTTATGCATTCACTGGTTGCTTCTTATATGTTCCCTGACCAGATATCAAACCCACAACCTTGGCATATCAGGAGGACGCTCCAACCAACTGAGCTACCTAACCAAGGCTAAGCTGGTAGTCTTGTGGGATGTAATATGAAAGTATGCATATTAGGCACATATAGGCTTGTGCAAGAATATGCCTGCTGCAGTGTTTATAATAGTGAACAATTAGAAACAACCTAAATGCCTATAAATAGAGAAGTTAAATCACTCACATATTTTTTAAGTAATGGAAAGCAAGAGAAATGAAGGACATCTGTATGTTCCGTATCGTGATTTGTGTTTTACAAAACATGAGACTAAATTTTTAGATTTGCGATTATATATGGAAATTCCTAGAAAAATATCTAATAGCATACATTTCAAACTTTTATTATGTTTATCTCTAGTTGTTAATTTTCTATTAACATCTATTTATTGAGCATGTAATGTGTGTAAGGAGTTGTCCTATATGCTCAGAATAGAGCAGTGAGCAAAATAGAAAAAAAAGTGCCCGCTCTTACAGAGCTGATAACCTAGCAGGAAGAAACAGACCATGAACAATAAAACAAGTAGATACATTCTAGTACTCTAAAGAAAAGTAAAACAGGGCAAAAAGTAAAAGGTACACCATGGGGTGGGGGGGCTCTGGCTGTTCTAAACTGCAGTCCAACAGAGCTTTCAGCAGTAATGGACAAGTCCTCTAAAATTGCACTGCCCAATAAGCCACTATTCTCATATAACTATTGAATACTTGGTGTAAGTTCAACTGAGTAATAATTTTAAATTTTATTTCATTTAAATAAATTTAAATTGCCACATATGCTGATTGATTCCATATTGGTCAGTGCATTTATATGGAATTGTCAGGGAAAACCTCACATGAAGCAGCACTGGAGTTGAGACCTGTATGAAATGAATGAGCTAGGCATATGTTCCATGCAGAGTGAACAACAGGATCCTATTTAGTATAGTTGGAAGCCTGAAAGGCTGGAACAGTATAGGCAAGGGTAAGAATGGAAGGAAATGAAGCCAGAGAAACAGAAAGTGTTCCACCACGGAAGGCTTTTACCAACAGTGGTTGTTGGTTACCAACTGGTGGCATACGATTGCTTATTCTGTGTGAGGTGAGAAGCCATTGCAAAGCTTTGAGCAGACAAGTGAAGTGATCTGAATTTTTAAAGAGTTGCTGGACGTGTTCTGATGATAAACAATAGGGGTTAGGGCAGAAGCAGGGAGAAAGTTAGGAGGCTCCTGCAGTAACTCAGGTTGGAGGTGATAGTGAATTAGGGTGTAGTAGAGTGTTGAGAGGTAGTCAAATTGACAGCATTTACTGTTGTATCAGGTAAGGGGCATCAAGAATGGATTTCAAGAGTGTTGGCTTGAGCAAATGAGATAGAGGGAGTATAGGGGAAGAGAACATTTGCAGAAGGAATTCAAGAGTTTTGTTTTGGGCATAGTAACTTGGCAAAAAATATGTGGGTCCTAGAGCAACTTATGTCTGAAACATTGCTGAAGGTAAAAATGAGAAAACTGAATCTCCTACTTTGGGTACATCAAGAGAAGGCAGGGTTCTTTGGGAAAGATTATAATGCTGGGAAAAATAGAAGACAGCAGGAGAAGAGGAAGACCAAATACAAGATGGATTGACTCCATAAAAGAAGGTATGAGTGTACAGGAGCTGAGCAGGACTTTTGAGGACAGGATATTGTGGACATTACTCATTCATAGGGTTGCCAGGAGTCAGAGCTGACTCAATGGTCTACAATACAAGTTGGAGGTGCCCATAGTGAGTTATGCCAAAGTCCTGAAAATGAGTGATGTTAAAATGGAAACTTCAATTAAAGGGTTTCTTTTGAGTAAAAGAAGAGCGTTCATAGATGATATTAGGATAGTCCTCATTATATGAGGGGTAGAGCAAGTGACCTGTCATCAACCTTTTCAGCATAAAGATTTTATGTCTTTAGTTACATGTGGGTGTAATACTGGATAACTATTTCTTATTTTACTTATTCTATAGAATGACTCCTGAACGAGTAAGATCCCTATCACGAGTTTGTGTCCCACTTATTACTCTGCCGGATTTTGAACCACTTGTGGAAGCCCTGCTCACCTACCATGGAAATGAACCTCAGGAAATGCTCTGGCCCGAGTTCTTTGATGCTGTGAATGAGGCCTTTTTGCTGTAAGTGATGTCCACTTATTCTATCACCCAACTTTGTTTTTCCTTTTCTTAGAATACTTCAGTATGTTGGAAATGCAGTTTTCAGATATTTTCACCTCATTACCTGCTTTATGCTCTTAAAAATTATTGAGGATACCAATGAGCTTTTTAAACATGTGAATATCTGTATTGATATCTGTCAATATTTATCATATTTGAAATTAAAACATAAGTTTTAAAAATATTTTACTTTATTCTTATTATATTTTATTGTTGATGCTATTAGAGTTGCGCCCACTTTTTCTCCCTTTGCCCACCTCCACCCATCCCTCCCCAGGCAATCCCCTCATCATTGTCCATGTCCATGGGCCATGAATATATTTTCTTTGGCTAATCCCTTCACCTTCTTTCATCCAATTCCCTGCCTCCTCCCCTCTGGCAGCTTTCAGTCTGTTCCATGTAACTGTGCTTCAGTTTCTATTTTGTTTGTTGGTTTATTCTGTTCATTAGATTCCACATGTAAGTGAAATCATATGGTATTTGTCTTTCACTGCCTGGCTTATTTCACTTAGAATAATATTCTCTAGGTCCATATGTCCTGTCACAAAAGCTAAGAGTTTCTTATTTTTTACTGCTGTGTAGTATTCCATTGTGTAAATGTATCACAGCTTTTTTATTCACTTATTCACTGATGGGCACTAGATATCACTGAAATACAAGAGAAATTAAGAAAATATTATGAGCAATTACATACCAAGGAATTGGACAACTTGAATGAAATGGATAAATTCCTAGAAATATCCATTCTTCCAAAACTGAATCAGGAAGAATCAGAAAACCTGAATAGATGGATAACAACGAATGAATTGAAGCAGTAATCAAAAAACTCCCAACAGACAAACAAAAATATTTTACTTCTTTTTAAAATAACAATAAATTGATTAAATGTTAATACAAATAGCATATTTTTTATGAAAAACAATGACCTTTTCTAAGCAAAAAGTTGTTTAACAAGAGTGGCATTTTTTTTTTTTTACATTTTTGTAAATCTGTTTCATTGTCTGACTTAAAAGAAGGTAGCTGTGTTCTTATATATGTTTCTGTATTCAGTCTGGTGTGATATGTTGTCTTGGTTGAAGTATGCGAAGAAAATCTAGCCTCAAACAGATATGTAGTTGGAAAAGGCAGGAGTATTTTTAATGGCCATCTCAGATCATTGTGGATATTCCCCTTGCATACCTCACCAACTTTTGAAAATGTGGTTTTATTAAAGTTAGTTGTGGTGTAGAATATGAAATTATATCAATGAGCTTTACATACTGATAAATTAAAACCTACTGGTGTATATTGAATTTTTAATGGTCTTTTGTCCAAGCAGGACTTCATAGCCCTGTTCATGGTTCATTTGGAAAATACTTGTTTGTTGTTATGCAGATCTTCCAAACATTGACATACTTCATTTTACTGTAACAAAAGTTACGTTAATTAATTCCTTTCACCATCAACTTCATCCATAGTGTCTGTAAGTATTGGGAAGCTGTCAAGCTCATGTTGGCGAAAATAAATTTTTCAAGATTCTAATTTCCTCTTAAAAACTCAAATTTAGCATTGATCTTAAATACCATCAGTTGTTGTACTTGAAGTACTAGGGTCATTCATTAATTTTTGAACAAGTATGTGTCAAATACTCAAGCTTGAATAACAGATTTTTGCCTGCCAGTCATTCTTTTAGGTTTCCATTTTAAAGAGTAGCCAGCTGATCTCGCAGCTCAAATAGTTGCACAAGTGCTTTCCCTTCAGACGACATAATTTTTTTTGTTGTATAACAGAACTGTTCTATGCATGCTTTGCATTTTAATGAAATTAAACTTTGCATATTACCACATGTCATTTTTTAATAAAAAGTATTCTCAATGATAAAACTTAATAAAACTAATATTTTATATTGTTTAGTCAAACACACTTTTATGTGAAACTGGTAGTGCTTTTACTGGGAGTATGTAGTCATGAAGGATACATTGACCACTGTCCTTGCTTCGATGTGTGCTAGGTATAATAGTGTTATCATTGTTGCTTCTGCACTACAATGTAAACATCTACTCAGCTGTTCTGAGAAAAAACATGCCTTTCAAAATAGTTATTCAACACCTAAGTGTTCCTGTATCACATGTGTACATCTCCAAGTTCACCTTGATGAACTCCTGTCCTTAGTTGGTGATACCAGATGAATACAAGCAACACAATTAATCCAGTCATATCTAGGAATTATGTTTTAAGGCAGAAGTACAGTTCTTTTGATGAAATACTAATTCCTCACATCTATATTTGAAGTATTGAAATACTTGTTTAGACTGAATGGTCTCAAACTGATGCTGCAATTAGCTAGCACTATAATAGTATTTGAAAATATTCTGTTGAATAAGACACAATAAGACAAAGCATTAACATCTATAAAGCTAAGGGAAAAATGACTGCCTCATATTGCTTTTCATTTAGAGTTTAGTGCACTACGTTTGAAGTAGATATTTCTCACTCAGGAGCCAGAGAAATCGGATATATATTGGTTTCATCTTTTCCCAATGAAACAGTTGTGAGATGAGAAAGTAAATCTTTTAATTCTGTTTTGTAAAGCCACTAATCCAGTCTTAGCTCTAAGGAAATAGAAATTTTATCTGAATAAAATATAAAATTCTTTAAAAAATGTTTAAATGTTTTACATATACATATATAAAGGTTTATACAGAATCTGTATATATGTATACAGATTTATACATATATAAGATTTTTACAGAGTTTTTTTGGCAAAACATCAAATCACCCAGGTGACTCAGCCCCCTATAGCCCAGATTTGGCACCCTGCAACTTCCGGCTTTTCCCAAAACCAAAATCAGCTTTGAAAGGGGAGAGATTTCACACTGTCGATGAGATTCAGGAAAATACAACAGGGCAGCCAATGGCATTTAGGAGAACTGTGTGAGGTTCCAAGGTGCCTACTTTGATGGGGACTGAGGTGTCATTGTCCTAAGTACAAGGTTTCTTTTATGTTGTATCTTCTTCAATAAATGTCTCTATTTTTTATATTACATGGCTGGATACCTTCTGGACATACCTTGTATATACCTAAAATAATCTAGATAAAATTTTTAAATTTTTCAAAATATTTTAAGGATGATTGCAGAGAAATACAACAAAGTGTCCTCCTTGTTATGTTTCCACGTAGAAATGAGAATATGTCAGAATTTTAATTTATTTTTTTACATCTTTTTCCAGCTTTATTGAGATGTAATTGGCATATAACATTCTATAACTTTAAGATGTACAATGAGTTAATTTGATACACTTTTATATTGCCAAATAAGTACCACCATAGATTAGCTAATACCTCCTTCATGTCACATAATTACCATTTCTTTTTTGTGGTGAGAACATCTAAGTTGTACCCTCCTAGTGACTTTCAAATAATAATACAGTATCTTTAACTATAATCACCATGCACTATGTTAGATCCCCAGAACTTACTCATCTTATAAATGAAAGTTTGTATACTCTTTGACCAATATCTCTCCATTTTTCCTGTCCTCTAGTCTTTGGTAACCATCATTCTAGTCTCTGTTTATATGAATTCAGGTTTTTTAGAATTCACATAAAATGATATCATACAGTATTTTTCTTTCTTTGTCTGCCTTGTTTCACTTAGCATATTGCCCTCAAGATCTATCCATGTTGTCATAAATGAGAGGCTTTCTTCTTTCTTGAGGCTGAATAATATTCCATTGTATGTGTGTGTGTATATCTCACATCTTCTTTATCCATGCATTCATCCAAACTGAGGTTGTTTCCGTATCTTGACTATTGTGAAAAATGCGGCAATAAACATGGAATGCAGGTATCTTTTTGATATCTTGTTTTCATTTCCTTTGAATATATATACCAAGAAGTGGGATTTTTCAGATCATACGATAGTTCTGTTATTAATTTTTGAGAAGCCTCCATACTTTTTTCCATAGCAGCTGCACCAATATACATTTCCAGCAACTGTGCACAAGGATTTGCTTTTCTTCACATTCTCCCCAGCATTTGTTATTTCTTGTCTTTTTTATGATAGCCATCAAATAAGTCATCTGATAGGTATGAGGTGATTGCATTTCCCTGGTGATAAGATATGTTTAGCACCTTTCATGTACCTGCTGGGCATTTATTTGGAGGTCTTCTTTGGAGAAATATCTTTTTAGTTACTCTGCCCATTTTTTTTAAGATTATTTTTTTCAGTTGAGTTACATGAATTCGTGATATATGTGAATATTAACTCATTGTCAGGTAGTATATGATTTGCAATTATTTTCTTTCATTCCATAAATTGCCTTATTTTGTTGATAGTGTAAATGCTTTTTGCTGTGCATATGTTTTTTACAATAGTTTGATGTAGTTCCACTTGTTTATTTTCACTTTTGTTGACTTTGCGTTTGGTGTCAAATCAAAAAAATCATGGCCAAGACCAATGTCAGGGAGCTTACCCCCTATATTTTCTTCTAGGAGTCTTATGATTTTAGGCTTTACATTCAGTTCTTTAATCCATTTTGAGTTGATTTTTGTATATGCTATAAGGCAGGGGTCCAGTTTTGTTTTTTTGCATGTGGCTATTCAGTTTTGTCCATTTATTGAAGCAACTGTCTTTTTCCCATAAGATAATCTAGGCTTTTTTGTGTGTGTAATTTAACTAACCATTTATGCATAGGTTTACTTTTGGGCTCTGTTTTGTTCCATTGATCTATATGTGTGTTTTTATGGCAATCCTATAAAGTTTGATTATTATAGGTTTATAGTATAATTTGAAGTCAGGAAGTATCCGCCTCTGTTCTGTTCTTTTTTCTCAAGATTGCTTTGGCTTTTGGGGGTCTTTTGTGGTTCCATACAAATTTTAGGGTTGTTTTTTCTGTTTCTGTGAAAAATTGAATTAGAATTTTGATAGGAATTGCATTGAATCTGTACATTGCTTTGGGTAGTATGGACATTTTAACATT